TAAGTCATTTTATTGGGGGCTCATACAACTTATCACAATCCATCCATACATCAATTGTATAAAGCACATTTGTACATTTGTTACCCTCATTATTCTTTTTTTTTAATTATTTTATTGAGGGCTCATACAATTCTTATCACAGTCCATGCATACATCCATTGAGTCAAGCACATATGAACACCTGTTGCCCTCATCAATCTCAAAACATTTGTCCTCTACTTTAGCCCTCAATATCATTTGCTCATTTCCCCCTCCTTCTCCCCTCTCCCCCCACCGAACCCTTCATAATTCATAAATTATTATAGTTTTGTCATAAGTTACTGTCCGACGTCTCCCTCCGCCCTCTTCTCTGCTGTCCATTCCCCAGGGAGGAGGTTATACTTAGATTCTCGTATACTAATATTTTAAGCCAAAAACAGCTAAAAAGGGTTTGTTATTACATGATTGAAACTTTATATAACAGCTGAATTATAAATACAATCTGAGCTACTAACGATAATGTTTATACAAAGAAACATTAACAATAGTAAAACAGAAATACGGAAAACCCTTATTTTTGGTCCTTTTGGAAAAAACACTAAGTTGGCTTCTTCTTCTTTTCCACATGGCTCCAGGCACACACAAACCCCCAAATAGGCGAGACTATGTTGACTGTAGAATTCTTAGTGCTTATTCTCCTCATTCTCGAAATGCCGCCAGACGCAGTAGCAATGAACTCCTCTTGGCTTATTCTCCATCGTCATCTTCATCCAGTTCCTCCATCATGGCCTCAAGTCCTTCATCACTCATGTTGTCACCCAATTCTCAGGCAGCACATTGTAAATTCTTCCAATTTATTTTACTTGAATTATCATCATCAAGCACTTTAAATGCCGTCAATATTTTCAATGTAGCTTGCTTTCCAATACCCAGTCTGGGACAACATCATTACAATCTTCAAAGGTGATTTTTCCCTCTATGGTGTCTCTGTTATGATCTTTTGTGGGGGGAGACCAGCCCCTAACAATGATCACGGGTTGATAGGTCCAACTGTATGGTTATAATATATAAAGATTATTGTAAAGTCATAGAAGATAGGAGTGATAGGACAGAGAGTACAATAAAGGAGTCAGACACATTTCATGGTAGTATGCTTACCTCAGCCCCTCTTGATGGTTCACTTGGAGGTGTGGGAGGAAGCAGGCAGGAGAGAGAGATTTATTTCTAACCAAGGCTTATATTATCTTTGGGGGCATGCAAACCCCTGATTACAGGTAACAACCTACGTCCGAGGAAGAGGTAGTACCATAGGCAATACAGCGATGGGAGGGGGACGATCTAGAATTGTACACGCTGTAGGAAGAGGAGGGATTAAGGATACACATGTGACAGGATGGGCGGATCCTAGATTCATGATGGCAGCTTAACCTTGATTGTCCTTGAGTTGGTAGTTTGATTTATTCTCAGGCCTTCAGGGATAGCAATCCAATGTCCTCAACAGCAGGGAGTGAGCCCCACCTATGGTGGACAAGACTGATTGCTCTGGATGGCTGATGCCTTCAGGGAGATAACTTGACAATCATTTACCATTAGTTGCTAGCAGTGTCTTAGGTCTGACATATATTTGGGGGAGACAAGATAGGGAAAAGCCTTTTTATGTCCCCCAATCTTTAAGAAACTTTTTTTTAACATCAACTCCCAAGGTTCTCGTTGTCACCTTTAATTTATGCTTTAATCTATTGCTTCACCTTTGTCTGTATCACATACTTCAAAAGCATTAAAAAAACAACAACCCTTTTTTTGGCTTCTGTTTCTCAGAGTTCTCTTCTCCCCCCACCCCCCATCCCTATCCCCCACCCCCAGGTTTGTCTACTACTACTAATTTCTCGGAGTTAAACTAATTTTCTCTCTGAACGGAGTTATTCCTCTCTAGACTGAGTTTAATCCCTACCCCATCCTACTATGTTTTACGAATACTACAAAGATATAATAATAGAGAATGTCAAAGTACAGGTGCTGGACTGACATAGAAAAATGGGATAGAAATGGCAGCTACAGAAACTAGATCTAGGAATATGTGACAATTTATCATTTGCTGAATGTGGCTCCAGAAAGCATAAGAGGAAGTTTCAATTGTCTAAGAGACAATGTCAAGGGAAAACGGCTCAGAATGTGGAGGAAAAGCTAGATCCCCATTCAAGCCACACATATCGATTAACTCCTGGAAGTGCTCAGGTATGCAATAGGAATGGTAAGTGCACAAAGACATGGCATATGTTTATTAATGTAAGAGAAGGAAAATGTTCTTTTAAAAATACCTGGAAAAGTTTAATAAGTAGTTTAAATTGTTGAGTCCAAAACTGATTATCTGAAAAGTAACCCCCCAACTAATTGACAATAAAAATTAAATATATATATATATATATAAACACCCCCAAAATAGAAACATTAAAATGGAATACGAGTGAATTTGGCTACATCAAAATCAAGGATTTTGGTTAGATAAAGGACTGCTTAGTCAAATTTTACAGGCGCTAGACTGGGGGAATCTATTTGTAGTGTTAAAACAAAACAAAAATACATATAGAAGTCTTTTAAATAACCAAGAAAAACGTAGGAAGTGATAAAAACATGTATTTCAGAGAATTGTAAGCTCCAACCCTGTCACTTAAAAGAAAAAGTACATTTAACACTAGTAAGAAAATACCAGTGAGAAAAGTAACAATGTGTGATGATACTTTACAGAATAAGATTGGCAAAAACTGTGAAATTGGATGATGTCAAATTCTGAGATGGTGTAAGGAAATGAGAATTCCAGCCCACTGACTGGTGTGTGAACTGCATAGTTCAGGCTGTGCCTAAGTGTTTACCCTCTCACCTGGAGACCCAATTCTTGGTAATATGTCCTAGATTAGTGCAATATGCTTATGTAAAATATTGTAGGTATGTGTTATATCTATGAAATAAATGTGTAAGTAGCATAAGTGATATTGATCACTTATATAAAGTGATCTGGGATGCTCAGAGTGGCAGGGTGCCTTTCAATGCATCTCTTCCCTGTCTGTTTTATAGCCGCATATTAGAGATAAAGGTACCCTGACAGTTTCTCTGAATTTAGCAATAACACACATGGACAGAACCTCAGTAGGGTTCAATCATTGGTAATTTCATGCATTGAATTGTGCCCCTTAAAAATATGCATCAGTCTGACTGCTTCTCTGTGACGTGGCAGTTAGGCAATGATGGAATCATCTTTCATGATGTGATCTCCAATCAGTTGCACGGGAAGCAACACCCTTTCTTGAGTCACAGCCCTGATCTCACGTAAGGGAGGGTCTCTGCATCACCTTTTATCTTTCAAGAAATAAAAAGAGAGTCCATCGAGTAGAGGCATGTGCATCTGTTATCATCAAGAAAGAAGAAGGAGCAAAACTTATCCTTTGGACCTTGGGTCTCTGTGCTGTGAACATTGCAGGTTAGTATTTCCCACAGTGGGAGATCCTGCCCCCTGGGAGCACTGGAACATCCGGGGTGGCTGCAAAAGCAGATACCTACACCTGGTTCTGGTCTAGTACAAACACTTTCAATTGCCAAGAGCGCATTTCTTTCTTTTTTGAGAGAAGGGAGTGCTAGGTCAGAGAAGTTTGAGAACCTATATTCTAGAGACACAGGAATGCTGGGCCTGCAGATACCTCAGGACAAGGATCTCCCCCACACCATCCCCTCAAACCAGCAGAATGAGAAAGGGTTCTAGAGCTGCCGTCTACACTGTGAGGATAACTTTCTTTTCCTTGTTAAGTCCATCTTCTTGTGGTATTTGTTATAGCAGCACGGAATCACTAAGACAGTAACTGCCATCACTTCTCTCTCCATTTAAGGCCACTTGCAAAGCTCATTTTCGGGTTTCGGCAGGATTGACATTTGTGTGGGTTGGGAGCTTGGCCCTCAGTGTGCTTTGCCTGGGTCCAACGTCTTAATTCTGTCCTGTGTGCTTGTCTGCTCACAACAAACATACTATTTTTAAAAATAAAAAATGGTCTTTGGCGGTGAAATTGAAGATAGAAAAACAAGCCTTCTTCCCATCCTTTACACAGGTCGATCTAGAACTCCCAGATTCTCATTTAACTGTTGCTCTCTATCTGGTCTCTCACTTCCAGGGAGTTGATGCCAAATCATAGCGACCCCACAGGGCAGGGTAGAACTGCTCCTGCGACTTTAGGAGACTATTTAAAAAAAAAAAAAAGCTGGTCTCCCGCAGAGCAGTTGTTGGTTTTGAATCGCCCTGTGAGGTTAGCGGCCCAAGGGCCAAGACAAAACCACTAAGAGTCAGAAGCCTGAGTTAACCTGTTTGATTCTGTCCCTGGGGCACACAGAAGAGATGGGGTGCCCTTCCCAGATGGCACTGGGAGAGCAGCTGGTTGCTGGCCTGCTTCTGAACGCTACACTGGGTGGGGGTGAGGGGCGTGTGTGGGGTTGGGGTTGGGCAGCGGAGCGCCAAGGGGGCTCGAGGTCCCGGTCGGCTTCCAGGGCCCCCGCGGGCACGCGCACCTCGGGATCAGCGGCCTGCAGCCGACGCCCATCTCGGCTCTGCGCGTTCCCACGCTGCGAACTGCGTCCGCCCCCGCGCCATCGCGAGAGAGCCGGGGAGCCACCACGTCTCCTCGGACCCTCGCCACCCCACGCTACATCGGTGCCCTATTTGAGACTTCACCGCCCTTGAAGCCACTCCGAACACCTTGGGGACATGAGCGGACGGGCCCGCGTGAGAGCGCGCGGCATCCGCGTCCACAGCCAGCACGCCCTGGAAGTCGGGCGCCCCCAGGCCTCCACAGAGGTGTGTAGAAAAGCTTCGGAGACTTTCTGGGCTTTGCCTACCCCGCCCCCATCTCCCATCCCCCCTCCCCCCACCCCGGGACAGAAGATGCCTGCCTTTGCTTGCTTCTTTCACTGTCTGCTAGGTGGTAGGTAGCGTGCTACCTCTCTCAACATCGAATCGGTCCAAGATTTTTCACCTTCTTTTCTCCGAAAGTTCATGTCTGAGTCAGATAGTGAAAGCAGATCTATTGACCAACGAAGAGGATAGAATGCTGAAGGCAAATGTATCCTTGTCTGGTACGTTCTGAGTTTTACTGAGTTGGTTTTAAGTTGCCTGGTGAAAATGATGTACTGTCCAGAAGTACCGTTGCATAGCATGTAATTTAGTTATCCTCTAAAAACAGGTCATCTAAAACAGGCATGGTTTATGTTCCACCCTCTTTCGGTAGCAGCCGTCATGGGTGCGGCTGCATGTTGGATTTGGGCCACTAGTTTGCACTGACCTGTAAAACAGACACATTTTGAGGGATGTACATAGGGGTGACTTGTAACAGCCTCTGACCAGAAAGGACTCTAGTGGAGCTGCTGTTACTTATTTCCTCAAAAAAGCGTCTTATCCCATTAGTAGGCCACTGGAGATCCCCTTGCAGAGGGCTCTCGGGCAGGAGACAAGCCAGAC